GATGTTACACTTTTCACAGTTTTAATTCACAGGAAAGAAGAACCCTTCCTCTATTTTCTCGATGTATCTATAACATTGAACACCATTTCTTCAGCAAATACACACTATCACTCTAGTTTACTGTTCTTTCACATATACTGTAATCAAACCAATATACTACAAATCAAACAAACAAATAAAAAAAAGAGGCAACCTGAAAATTCATACCTAATCAAATAAATAAATAAATATAAAATTGCTTGTTATTGTATCACAAGGTAGTGCTCTTTCATTATTTCCAACTACCGACTGGTACTTACACCTTCAATGACTCTCCCCTCACGCCACATTTTCTCAAGGCAGGTGGAGGCTGAGGACGCCAGTTCATTCAGGCGGTTTTCCAGGTTCGGTGTGCTCACTGCCACTAACCGCAAGGTGCTGATGACTTCGCTCACCTGTTACGGGCACAGGGGTAATCATAGGTAATTTCAATTCTTCTAGCAAAATTAAAGTGCAACACCGATCTTTAAAAATAATTAATAAATATCATTTCAAAGTGTAAATAAATATTCATAAGAAAAAGAATAAAACTTAAGTATCACTATCTGAAAATCACATGATATCTAATAAAGCTGAAGATACTTACAACAGTAGCCAAGGCAGCAAGTACAGGTAGCTCTTCATCAGCCAGCAATGTTGGCTCCTTTGCCTGGCTTCCTGAGCTCCTCTGTTTCTCGTACAGGTAGCTCTTCATCAGCCAGCAATGTTGGCTCCTTTGCCTGGCTTCCTGAGCTCCTCTGTTTCTCCTCCCAGGCCTTCAGAGATACTTCTAAGTCCTAGTGAGTTAACAGTTGATAAGTAAGGTAAACAGAATAAAAATAATTCTAAGAGAAGTATCGATAACACCTACACTAACTATTATAATTCCAAATAATAATTTAACATTAGCAGTAAAAAAAATAAATAAATAAATATCTCTTCCTCCCACACTAGTAATGTCAAGATACAACACTATAATTAGGTCAATACAAAAATGTTATCAGTTAACTTACCCTATTCCTGCACAGCATCTGAACACGATTTTTGTGTACAATGCGGACTATGCCTGGAGGTTGTGTCCAAGCCTCTCCATCCACTTGAATTGGTACACCTTCCTCTCCTAGGAGCAACGAAAATAGAAACATAAACAAATCCTGGCTCGTGAGAGTACCTACCATACTTGAAATTCTAGATGTATTTCAACACTTTATGTCCTATCTACAAATATTAACCCATTGCCACCGGGGAAAATGAACAAAAAATGGGGGAAATGCAGTACTAATTTTTTATATTTTTGTGAAATATCTCGGTACATAGATGGCTCTGCTAGTCCTGATTTCACCTTCCCTTGAATTGGCGGGAAAAAACGTATTTTTACTAGTGCTATGAATATAGATGGTGTTATTTTTAACAGCAAATTAGGATAACGTTAAATATTTTCATAAATGAAAATGAAAATGAAAAGGGTGAACGGGCGAGACAGGCAGTACTCATAATTGGTTCATTGGATACTTAGTACAAGTGTAGCTATCCATGTGTAAAGACAATTAACAAGTCGACTCACAGTGGGCATGGCATGTACGTACATGCCATCCCCGGCGGCAATGGGTTAAGTCTAAAGCCACCTGCAATCATCAAATGTTTATAACTCTTGAGAAGAGAAGCTTAAGAGCTTAGTAGAGTTCATCATGAACCCTTAAATATCTCACCAGCTTCTCCAAGGATCGTTATCTTAATGCTAGAGCACTGGGCAATGCGGTGATGCTGCAGATTGATGATCCGCGAGGCAGCCATCTGGGCAGAACCAAACACAGCAACAACCTCCAGAATTTTGTCATCAAAGCTGGGAGCCAGGAAGCAGTCATCCTCCTTTGTGCCGCCCCAGAAGTTGGTGCCGCCCATGAAACTGGCAAAAGAAAAAAAATTACGATATGTAATGTTGATAAAAAGATCTAAGATATGAACCACTGAATATATTTTCCAACACTTTTCTGGTTGATTTCATATAGTTAACAGAACCTAAGTTTTCCACTACACTAATACAGTAAAACCAAAATTTCTCTATGCCCACCTTGGAATGTTCAATACAACAATACCCTGGAGTGATGGCAAGGGAATTCTCTCACCATCGCATTCCAGCTGGACTCGCTGATCCAGATTCTTGTAAGTTTTCTGTAAAAAATGTATCTACTGTATCTATTATGTTCTACACAAGGGTAAAAGATTAAAGTATTACATCTAGCAAAGAACAACAAATTTTATTTCCTTTTTTTATCTATTTCAGGATAATTATGATAGATAATAAACATTAAATAAACTTACACATAACCATTCTTTAGATGCTAATACACCATACCACATGAAGTTCTTTGTACGGGAACGACACTTTTCAGGATGTTCTTCTCGCTTGTTGTGAAAATCCAGTGTTATCTTGGCATCAATCCCAATGCCAAAATAGTTGTTCATTGTGCACCTTTCCTCATACCCATCCCTGCAAAGATAATGCCCCCAGTGTCAATAATAAAAGAAAAGGTGAGATAAACTTTTTTCTTCACCCTAGTTTTACCTTTCTCACCTGTTTACCCTTTTCCTCAATTTTCAGAAATATTCTTGTATATTTCCTATTGCTATTAGTATTGTTAATAATATTACTATACTCATGACACCAACAATAATACGGATAACAGCTTTGCTATTAGTAGTATTAGAAAAAAAAATCCAGGAAAGGATGAATCATGTGAGGTCACATGGGCCTAATACTTGACTCTTAGGTGGCTAAGCACTTGTGGAGCCATTCTCTGTGTAACTACATTTCTCATTTCATAACTATAGTGGACATAAAGTGTTCCTGGCGGCACTGAGTTAGTTAACCAATAAACACATTATATATTCCAATCAATTACTATTGGCTGTGATTATATCCTGATTAAATTATCTTATATTGACTTCAAAATTACCATAGCTTCTAAACTGAGCCATGATATCCTTATATTAACTTATGGCCAATAATGTATATGTATGAAAATAATCTCAGACTAGCATGAGCACTTGTTATCTACAAGAAGTATGCAAGCCAATACCAGTCATAAGAGGAACTCCATACCATCCACGGACATCCCACACCTCTTTCAGAATCTGTAATTTCCTTGTTGTTAGACACAAGCGAGTTCATGCTACAATGAAACCACCGTGAAGGGTATGACAGATTACCAAATGAAAACAAACAAAGACAGTCAGTTGGGTACGTACAAGGATGAGTCATCAAGGTCCATAAGGGGGGAGGCTGCGGCACACAAAGCGTCAGCATTGGCCAACAGAACCTTACTGATAAGTCCTCCCGAGCTGGCACCCGCTGCAATGTCTAGAATCACACACAAGGTATTAGGGGCTCGCAGGGAACTCCAGGACACAAACGCAGGATTAATTTATTATAACTTATGTCAGTGTCTCTCAGACAGAAGGGATATAAAGGAAAATATAGTTACTTTTGCACATCTGTAATCACAAAAATATGTACATGCATACATGCTCTCTCTCTGTCTCTCTCTCTCTCTCTGTCTCTCTCTCTCTCTCTCTCTCTCTCTCTCTCTCTCTCTCTCTCTCTCTCGCTCTCTCTCTCTCTCTCTCTCTCTCTCTCTCTCTCTCTCTCACATTCACCCAACCACTCTTTTCTCTGACGTACACTCAACTCAAAACTCAAAGTTGTATCTGTTTATATCTGTTTATAAAATGACAATAAAGAGACAAAGACAATAGGAAGTAAAAAAAGATTAATACTGTCCAAACACTCACATACCAATGAAAAATAGTCTGATCTTCTTGGTAGGAGGAGAAAACAAATTGAAACACTTCCTCATAAAGACCTAAAACATCATTCCAAGATATTACATGACCAAGGTAAATACCTGAATGAATGACAAGTTTCCCATTCATTTCTCGTCCGACTACACCCCTTTTTCATTCGGCTCATTTATTTGCTTATAGAAAAGCAAAATGTTACCTTGAATCAGAGTTGATCATCAATTATTTCAAGTAAGAAATTTTTTTTTAGGAAAAAGGTAAATCAATTTTGCTGGGGTCTTGTCATTTGTCAGATGGACAACACAGACATTCCACTGCCTCTGCTGAAGTACAATCAGCTGTTCCTCCTTCCATTGGCAATATTTGATTCTGGACACAATTAAGAGTGAATGTTACTGCTGCACTCAGGTACATGCTGGCTGAAAACCAGGGAAGAGACCGATCACAGATGTCCAAAATGTTCTTCAGAAGATAAGCTTGTATGACCAGCCAACTTCTTGAAATTATTATCAGTCAATATATAAATTACAGCAATATGAGCTTTATCTTATGAAACACCATGTATAGTGTTCCTATAGAAAAAAAATCCAGTTTCTATTCTCATATGTGTTATTCTTACATGTCTATCACACACATATTAAAACGAAAATTTGTGTTATGTATCATACAAGAACGTCACAAGAAAATTTGTGATATATGTAATATTACTACATATTATACTCAAATACATCAACATACATACACACATCTATACATACATACATACACTCATACATACATACATATATAAACTTTCTCACTTTCTAAACCTTGTTTATGGCACACCTAAATCATCAACATAAAAAATAGTAAGGAATTCCATAATACCAAATGCTGTATATATTCTATGGCTAAAATTCTTCTTATCCCAATTATACACAATTATACAACACAAATCAATATTTTGCACAAAAAACAAAACAAACAAATATAGTGTTCTTGTCACATACCATAAGCAAAAAAATATGCACAAGAAATACCTAAAGCCTTTTCACCAACAGCTCTTCACAAAAATCAATAATCAATGAAAACATTTCCTAAATTATCAGTCAAATACGTTTACCATTTCCACATCCTTTCAATATTACTGATGAGAAATTTCTGAGAATGCTGTTCTGCTGTTCAATGTAACATAAGAAGGATCAAGTTTGATGCTGAATAAAACAGGTAAAGTAAATCATAAAAACTTACTTTACTGGCAATTATTGTTATGCTATACTCCATAAAGAAGTCTAAAAAATATTTATTTTCTTTACAAATCTGTGTTGTAGTACATAACTACTGTTATTAAAAAAGAATGTCTCCCTTAATATACTTCATGACCTAGTAGGCCTGTGACACTTGAAGGTTAACCAATCTTTCTTTGTATTAAATTATACTTACAGTAATAGCATTGATGTGCCTCTTATATTTTAAATTTCTCTTTTGTACTTGTAAACACAGAGTTTTCCAGGACACAAGCCAACAGAATTGCATGTCGAGTAAGCCCATCACCGTCTTCGATGCAATTTATCTACAAAAGTATCATAATACCCAGCCTGACATACATACAAATATGAAACTTCCACATTTATTCACAAACATACACACTAAATACTACATGCAAAAAACAAAACTTTTTGCAGATGTTTAGTACTCAAAACAAAATTTTGTTATCATTTATAATACTTAATATTTGGTTAGTAAAGGAATTAGTATATAACTGAAATTTTCATGATTTCTTGTGTATTATACTGTTATAAGTTAAATCTTGAATATACTACAGATCTACAAAATCAATCATTTTTTGTTAGAAGATATACTATTTCAACAGCTCCTTCACTGGGCCACTGCCAAGCAGACTCTTTTATGATATGATGCTTAGTGTGCAAGCAAAACTGTTGATTATTTATACAATTATGTGACAGTAAAAATTCAGCAAAGCATTCATGCTGCACTGATCAAGCCCGATGTCCTATTGGGAGGAATCAGTTAGTGTAAAACCAGTACTGGCTCAAGGTTCACATGGTCAACATACTTGGCCACATGGGTAGTGAGACAAGTGGGTTGATGATAGGGAGGTGTTTGCGAGATGATCGGGCAGCCGCAGAGCTTCTAGCTAAGCCTCGGCTTGTAGAACCCCGCCCCCCACGCTCAGGACTCCTGCTCTTGTCCCGTCCAGGGGTCGTAGATGTCACATTCAGAGTGGAGATGGGTGGCCCTGGACTTTTGAGGGTAGAGCCTGTAGATATTCGCCGCGATGCTGATGGAGAAGGAGGGTTTGTGAGGATGGATGATGAGGATGCTGGTTTGGTGAGGGTAGGAGAGGAAGGGGCCATATAGGCCCACACAGGTGGCATCAAAAAACCTGCAGATGATGGAGTGTGTGGGGTTGAGTGTGACAGGGAGGAGAGAGTACTTGCGCTTCCTTGACTTGTCATTGCAGGGGTAGAAGGCAGGGAAAGGCAGGGTGGTGATACTGGAGAATTAGGGACTGCAGACTGTGACAGGGATAGAGAAGAGTTGGTATCTCTTACTTTCACAGGACTAGAGGAAAGATCTGTACTATAGGGGAAAGCTGACTTTGTCCCTGAGGTTGAGGCACAAGGTACTGAGGAGAAGGTTGTGTGTGACATGGACCCAGGACATGGAACAGGTTCCGACTGCATTAATTCTGTGCACTGGGTCATGGTCGCACAGGCTGAGATAGGACTCTGCCTCACCCGCAAAATAGGTGTCAGATGTTTCCGCAATGACAAATCTTCGCCACTGATATCGGGCGAAAGCACTCGCCCCATGGAAGAATGATATGTGGGGTGGCTATGATGAGGGAAGTCCAGTGGAGTCAGGCATTTATGAAGAGTGGTCTGTGAGTGTTTGGTCTTTAAAGCATCATGCACGTGGGTCTGGTGAAGCAAGGGTGGCGGTTGTACATGAGGCACAGCGGGAGGGCTCAGTAGGGTATTTGATGAGCTCCGGTCGGTGGGTGTAGGCTCGAGCCGTGGGAAGACTGTGCTAACCTCACTAGCTGGGCGGGGGGGTTGCTTGGCTAAAGGAAAAAAAGAAGCGAGGAGAGAAAGTGTCAGGTACGGGTTACTACAGCTTGGGTTATATGACTACTTTAAAGGAAACCAGTCATCAAAAAAACTGCCTTTAGGAAGTAATACAAAAATGAGGTAATTTGGGGGTTTTGAAGTGCGATTTACACTTCTTTTGCAAATACTAGGACTGGCCATTGCAATTTCTAAGCCTTTCTAACTAGCAAATCTTTGGGAATTCAAGGCAGAAGTCTGATGACTGTTACTTGTTAATAGCATTTCAAGAGGTTAAGGTGCAAGACATTTTTAGCATTCATTTAATCTAAGAAAACTTCCATTCAGGATCCCAAAGTTCTTTATACATCTTTCCATGAGCAAAGGTTTTATGACAATTTAGAACAAATAGCCACTATTTTTACCTGATTCAGAAATTTTCCTGGGTCCCTTACAGCCGTCAGTCTAACCGCTACTCTACTTCAACCCTAGTGGCTGTGAAATACACTAACGCTTTTATATATCTTGCTCAATCACAGTTAATTCTACGTAGTGGTTACATTCTATGGTCACAGCTGTGGGTAACTTAGTAATGCTTAGCAAGCTGGACTATCCTACGTTGCAAGGATAT